ATAAATAAATAAATAAATAAATAAATAAATAAATAAATAAATAAATGAGTGGCTCCAACAGATCTCAGGAACGACCTCAGAGATCTGTGTCCATCAGAGTGCGGTGTTAAGAGACTGCACTGAGCTCTAAAGTGAAGTGGAACCACCCATGTGTAACAACAGGGCTAGCTGCTCCTCTGTGAGCTAGTTGCTGCTGCACGCATCCCAAACAGTGCGTGAGAAAGAACGGAGCGAACGCGCACGAGTCAGCCAAGCGCGCGCGTGTGCCACCGCTCGTCTTTTGCGCACGTGTGAGCGCGCGCGCGCGRGTGCGGCGAACTCTTGAACGGGAAATATGAGTTGAACGCTCGGCAGCAGCCGTAGGATGCCTCTCCGCCTCCTCTTCTCCGCTCCGGCCGCTCCTRCACCTGCCTCCGCGCACCAAGATGACATTTCCCCCCCACTGCGAAAAGACCAGAAGTCGCTCCCCGGCGCTGGAACCACCTCCTTTCTCCGGCTTCAACTCCGCGGCGTTATGACCGAAGGATCCCACCCGGACTGCGTCGTAGTTAAGGACACTTTTTTATATGAGGAGCGGGAGGAAAAAAAAATGGAAGTTGACCGGTGCTTTTATTATTTATTTATTTTTTTCTTTTTCTCCCCCGTTTGATGTGCTCCGGGACTACTGAGGTGCAGGAAGGGGGGGAGCGCAAGCTACAAGATGATTTGGTGGTGAGAGAGGTGGGGGGCGAAAAAAAAAAGTGATCACTTACTGAGGATAAAAGAAAACGGAGGGGGAAAATGCAGTTTGAGACATTGCGTCAGTTCTGTAGCTCGGTTTTATCACATTTCAACGGAGCTTTCTCTGCGCCTCAGAACATCCTGCAGACGGAGCTTTTCGAGCAGGCGCTCAGCAGCATCGGGTGAGTGATTCCTTTGTAAAGAAAAGCCCAGATTTATGAAGAGGGGCTTCCCCGGGTTACGGCAGACGAGTAGCTATTTAGGGGTGGGGGGGTTGTTGCGTTTATCGATCGCACCCAGCCTGCGTGACAGCAGCCTTACAGAAGCCTATAGTGCTGCTGCTGCTGCTGCTGCTGCTGCAGAGCTGCTGGCCGGATGGTGGGAGCGATCAGGCACCGTGCCGCGGTCTGAGCTGCGCGCGCGCGTGCACACGGATCGACTGTTAAAGGGTAGTTAAAACGATTCGTTTAAGTGCACTTTACAGTGAACATACAGTATATATATCCATTTGGAAACGTGCGGTGCGCGTGCGTTGTATGTCCCAYCGCATCGCTGCTGCAGCATGTGTGTGTGCCCCCCGTTACTGCTGCTGCTGCTGCTGCTGAGCCTCAGAGGAGAACAGGAGGGGATGAGGAGGGTAAATGTACAAATCACGAGTCCAGAGCTTATGCACAGACTCCCAACGCACCCTCCCACTAACCTGCACACCCGCACTGGCCTCTGTATACCTTATCACTAAACCGATCATACATGCTCCTCTGCTGCAGCTGATTAAAGCTTAACCTGAAAAGACATCATAATTTCAATTTGCTCAATTTGACTGTTTTGATCTAACTGCAACATTTACAAAAAATACTAGAAGTAGGCATGTATAGTGTGCCAAGACAGAAATTGAGAGTTAGGTTCTGGGCTAGATGCACTGTAGCATAATATGATTACTCTGCTAAACGCTATGATCCCRGCAGAAAGGCCCCTGGTTCTCCAGCTAGGCTAGAGGACCTGTAATGCTCCCAGTGCAGATGGGAGGAAGTCTGTAAACTGGCACACAGACACCCATTRAAAACATTTTTCTACCATAGGGCTGGAAGAACACGAGCTTCCTTCCCGGTATTGATGCAGGCCTCGTATCGCCACACTGTTCGCCCATCGTCTGTCTCTGGGGACTGCTAGTCTTTCCCTCTTGTCCCCCCACCCCACTGTCAGAAATAATTTACAGCACTGCTGGGCTTTCTGCCACCTCACATTACATGGCCAGAACACTCAGCCACTGGAAGGGTGGAACAGGGGGCCCTGTGCCTGGAAACTGTGATCCAGCAATTATCACATCTGACTGATTAGATTGAACTTATTTCCCTTCAGTGTGAACTCCCTCAGAATGGCAATCCAACATATACATACAGCTATTATTTGTGTGCTGTTTTTGCTGTATGAATTTTATCAAATGGCGCATCAAGGTTTTACTTATTTCTTCATTAGTTTTAGCTCAGAAATGTGAAACAAGTCATTGCAAGGTGTATGGTTCTTGCGTGATCTATAGTTTGGCTATCTTTAGGCCAAGCCTTTTTTATGTGTTAGTGGGCATTTCTTTTCTCTTTCTTCTGTTTGGTTTTTCCTTACCAAGGCAGAGACCTTCTAATGGGCTGTGTCCTTTCAYATCCAGCCTCCATGTATTATGTATGTGTGCGTCAGCAGAGGTCCTAATGGGGTTTAGGGATCTGTTCTTAGAAGGTCTGACTGTTTTAGAAATGAGTAGTTCACTACATTTAAGCTGCAACCAAGTTTCCCAGTTTTCTTACTGCCCCCCACCACACACACACACACGCACACACACGCACACACACACACACACACACACACACACACACACACACACACACA